TTTTTAATAGATATATATTATTATTATCTATAATGTGAATGGATAATATATAATTATCTCTATTCAACATATATAATTGTGAGTAATATTAACACATTATTTTTATTTTCTATTTTTAAAAAGAAAAAAATATCATGTGGTGCTTTTAGTATTAATTTTTAGCAAAAATACCTTATTTAATCATTTACTTTTAAAAATTATTCAAATTGTATCATTAAATTTTTTTATAGTTTAAATCAACTTTAAATTTTTTTATAGTTTAAATCAACTTTAAAAATATTTAAATTATCATATGATATTAATACTAAGTAATATTATTAGAAAATAATACAAATAAATAATACTAGAAGCGGAATATTCAATTAACTAAGATTTCGAAGCCAAAATTTCAAATCGACCATCAACTGGTTGAACAATTTTTTCTATTGTTTTGACAAAACTTCTCTCTTGTATCATCAAATTATCATTCATCATACAACATCAACATTGCTTGATTCTGAAATACTCTTTTTAAATTCTATCAATCATTTATCGTTACTTAATTAAAATTATATATAAATAATTTCGACCCTATTTAAAGTATGGTATCAATAATTTAATTACTATAAAATATTTATTTTATCAAAAAATATAATAATATTATTAAAATTTAATCTAATTTAATTATCATAACATTATTAATAATTATATAATCTAAAAATTAGTATTATAAATTTATAATTAAATATAGTAAATTATACAATATAGTAGAAGTTTATCCTCAAAATTTCTTGATGCTTTTTTATTTTTTGGTAAGCGGGAATATTATCTTAATTTCTTTTCTTAGAACAGGCTTTTTTTTTTTATCATTTAAAAAAAAAAAGACTCTTTTATTTAGGCTCTTTATCATATGAACTTTCCAGAGATCCACTCATTTTTACATGCATGTATAAAATATTTGGGAGATGATCTCGGAAATAGCCCATGTACTTTTTCCTACGACTTTAAATATAGAGGATATACATGAACTCTTGTGTGTACATATATATATATATATATGTATATACACACACGCGCACATATGTATACATAACGAGGGGGTGCCAAAATAGAACATTACATTTTTTTATTTATCATAATTTAATTTAATTGAGGGTTAAAATATAAATTTACTTTTTGTCTTAAAAATATAAACTTTAACTCTCAAACAAAAATATAAGCTTATTAATTAAATTCAATCAATTACCAATTATGTTATTTTTAATATAAATATGATGAAATCAAATTCATAAAAGAACTTACTAATTGGATTTTTTGTTTAAATGGTATGATTTTTTGAATAAATAAAATGTTAGGTTAATTTTTTAATTCTTATCTCGATTAAAAAAATTTAATACTCAATTAAAAAAACATAATATATTTATTAAGATTTAATTTAATTTAATTGCTATAATATTATTAACATATTAATAAATTAAATAATTAATTTTTTTAAATTAAATATTATAAATTGACGAATACTAACTCATAATATATATGTTAAGAAATAAACAAAATTCGTAATTATTAAGTACAATATTATAATTTTAATAATTATATTATCGTGTTGTTAATTAAAAAAAGATGAATTAATATTTTAATTTGTGAATTATTTTATACTTTAAAGTTGTAAATTTATTTTTTAAAATGAAAAAAGTATTTGAATTAGTGGTTTTTTTAATACAAATATATAAATTAGGACATTATTTTTTTGTTTATTTTGTCTATATTTTCATTTTTACATAATTTAAAAATTAATTTCAATAATAATAATAATAATTTTTGTTTATCTTAGTCGTACAAATGATATATATAATAATTATTTTTTGATTTTTAATGTTTAATCTTAACTATTTAAACTAATTATGTAAATTTTAAATTAAATTGTTAAGAAGAGAAAATTTAAAGTTGAACGGCCAAATTGATAATTCAATAATTAAATTGGAGCAAGAGCAAATATTAAGTCGTTGAAACATTTTTAATTTGTTGTTTTCTGAGTTTCAGCGTCTTACAACGAATGTTGAAAAAAAAGTATGAATAAAGTAAATTCAGTATTTTACTTGTTTTGATATAAAAATTTACTGCTAAATGAAATAGAAATTAACTTTCAGAAGTTCATTTTTTACCTTGTAGACATTGGAGGGAGAGATGTAAAAGAGGTGAGAGTGAGAGGTGATATGTATGTGCAAATGCAGTCTCTCCTGCAACAGGAGACTGAAAGAAAAGAGAGGATATAAAAAATGGATATATGCGAGTATTGGGAAACTAAAATCCCAAGTCAGACCGCAATAATAAAAAGCTTCTTAGTTTTTTTCCTCTTTACAAATTTTTTTTTTTATAAAAACAGAGCCGTACTGATACGCTATCCCCTCCATTAAAGATCTTCTTCTCGTCCCTTCTCTCTCTCTGCTTCACTCTCTTTCACTGCCCCTTTTCCTTCTCCAACAATTATCTCCCGTATCTTTTTTATTTTGCTTTTTAAGCTTTTACTTCCTTCATGCGGGAACAACTTCTATACAGAGAAAGCCATGCAGAGCAGCTTCAGGCCTGCTTCTTTTAATCCTGATCTCTATGCCCACTCTTCCTTCTTTTTCAGGTATTTACTCTTCTCTCATTCACTTTTAAGCTACTGGCTTTTTTGGATTTTGCTTCTTCTTCACGATTCTTCATCATAAGCTGTTATGACGGGTGCCTGTAACCAGAGAGGAAGCTAGTTTTTTCTTTCTCTGAATAACAAGTTTTTTTTTTTAACGTGGGTGTTCTTTTCTTTTTCATGTGTTTCTGTGTTAAAAAACAGAGATGATGGTAGCCGAAACCAGACGCGTTTTGCGGATCTTGGAGAGCTTGATCACTCCGCCACCGCTTTTCATCAAGATGATGCTGTTGATTTAAGCCCAAGTATTCCCTTTTTCTCTTTCTTTTTCTACCTATATTATTATATATAATAGTTACAGATGTAGTTTGTATATTGGTTTCTTTACTTGGAGCTCTCAGTTTCCTCTTAAAACTCTTATTTTGAAATCCTTCTGGTAGGCTCCTTGTTCAGTTTAAAGTCCAGCAATGTCTCTGCTATTTCCAATAATATGCACTATGGGACCTTAAACACGGTACTCAATCCCCACCTAACTCTTTTAACACAAATTTTTGTGTTTAGTTTGGTGATGGGTTTATATTTTTTCATCATCTTCTTTTTGCATAGAGCGTTGGGTCGGCAGATATAATTTCAACAGGAACAGGGTGTTTGGACACGGGGCAGTTCATGTACCAGAAGGGGACAACGGTTGGTGCCCCGCTGGGAAATGGACATATCGAGAACTGGGGCGATTCAGGGATAGCAGATAACAGCCAACAAACTGACACTTCCACAGATGTTGATACTGATGACAAAAACCAGGTTTAGTGTCGTTTTCTTCATTAAAATTTGTTCTGTTTCACTTATGGGAATCTTAGGTCCTAATGGTGGGTCATCTTCGAATTTCAGAATCTCCTATGCCACCATATTTTCTCTTTTACCTTTTACATGGATTATGGTCAATTTTGGACTTAATTAAATATTACAGACCCTTAGTCTCTGCGATTACTGCCACTAATTATATTGTCTTTATATTCTTCCTTCCATTTTGAAATTGACTGAAGTTATTAATAGGGAAGTATAACTTCAAAATGGATTATGCAAGTCCAAGAAACTGTTGTAGACTTGTTAACTTAATCTTTCTTGTTAGTTTCCTAATTTTGTTTACTATTAAGTTTAGCATACTGGATTTTAAATGCTGTTTTAGTTTTATGGAGTTCAGCAAGGAGCACTGGTAGCCATTGATTCTATGGATCAATCCAAGGCAAAAGCTGGTGACCAAAAGGTTATTCACCTTATTTGACTTTACTAGTATGTTGTGGTTGAAGAATCAGTATCATGTTTGAATGTGAGGTTTTATGCTTGCTCTGCACTTTTTTGCAGACACTTCGGAGGCTGGCGCAGAATCGAGAAGCTGCTAGGAAAAGTCGACTAAGGAAGAAAGTAACTTATTTTTTTTTTATCTTCTCTATATGTTGCATAATTCTTATCTTTGTGTTGCAGTATTCATATTCCAAGATTCAGATTCCCTCATGTGTAAGCATATACATTCACATGTACGCATCTGTGCCATATTACATATATGCCGCCATGAATTTGCTACCTACCTTTTGCGGCCATTAGTTTTATATATCTAGGGTGAATACTTGAATTATGAGAACTAGAGGCAGCATAATTGGCGTAATCGGATTTTTTCCCTGCAATGATTTGTTGCTTTGCAGGAGCAGGCGGCAATCTTCATTGACTGTCAATGTTCTGAATCCTTACCTGGTTGACCTCCAGGGTGAACTATAGAAAACTACAAGCTATAAAGAAATTTTCAGTGATGCATTTTTGTGTTGATGTTTTAAACGCAAGCTATGAATAGATTCTGATTTGACTTTAATTCTTGCTTTTTGTATGTTGTTTTGGAAGTTCAAATTTCTAGAATAAGTTAAATATTTTCCTTTCCATGTAAATATACATGTACTGCATATCAGCTGATTGAAACTAAATAATTTCCTCTGATGCGAGTCCAGAAAATGTTGCCTTGTCACTGGTTCTCATATTCTTTGTTTGCAGATTATTGTCTAACTTTGTTCTTATTTTCTATTTAAAGATCACTTTAAGGAATCGTTAACTTTCCTTCTGTATCACCATATTTTATAAGATAACAAAATCTTTAGCTTTGGGTTCAAATGTAATGTGATCAGATGCGAGTGATTGTGACGTGCGTAGATTTGTGAATTTACTTAAATCTTTTTCTTATTTTAATAAATGAAATATACTTGGATTATTTATAGGTTTTGGTTTTGGATAGGCATATGTTCAGCAGCTTGAGAACAGTCGCCTCAGGCTTACACAACTAGAGCAAGAACTTCAAAGAGCAACGCAACAGGTGTGTTAACTTAACAATATATATATTTTAATGGTTAGAACTTGACGAGGCTTATATATTTTTTTTTTGTTGGTGGGGGGCTGGGGCGCTTATTATTTACCTACTTACCATAAAAATGAAAACTGGTGGACTCTAAGATAGGCCAATAGTCTTCGGTACGGACTTTCTCATCCCAGTATCTATTCTAATGCAGGGTATCTTTATTTCAACTGGGGCTACAGGGGAATATGGACACACATTGACAGGAAATGGTAAGAGGATTTGGTTGTTATGAGAAGCTTCATTCCTAGTTGTCATGTTGTTGGAATAATATTTATTCATACAACTATAGGACTTGCTATGAAAATTTTTCGTTTGACATGTTAAGAGGTTGGAATAACGTTTGATTTTGGAGAATGGCTCGCATATTCTTTTGTAGTTTGTATGGGACTTGACGTTGTCAGTTTTTAAAATTACCGATCCTTATGGCTACAGCATGAATGTGATGCTTTAATCAATGTCTTTTGGTATGAGCTTTTTTGTTGTAGTCATCTTGGATTGTTCTTTAATCCTGATTGTAGAGTAATTCAATCAGGAAATATCCCTAAATCAGCAAGCATTTGATGAAGGATAGAAGATGGGTAGCACATTCTTATTAACCCTTGGGGTGGCCTGGCTGGGGGATCTGGGGAGACAAGAATCAAGGCATTATAAGTACAACTAATATTATGAAACAGAAGCAAGTGAAATGGCATAAGGAGATAACATGGTCTAAGTCATTTACTCGTTGATTTAGCTTGAATAACAAACATGTGCATGGTTCTTATCATTCGCTGCTAATTAGGGTGTTTTTCATCTATCCTGTAGCCAAGGACTTGTTTCTAGATCATATTGGTATTGTCTTTAGCTATTCCTTTTTTAGTTGTTATCGTATATCCTAATGGGGCCTAGAGAGAGTAAATACAGCTGGGAATTGAAGTATATGTAGCAAATGTGTAGCCATTATTAATTCAGATGAGGCAAGACTTTTTCTGCTTGAATAACTTAGTCTTTGTGCCAGACTACTCCATCTATCTATATCTTTTATTGAGAGAAAAGACAAATGGAATTCACATGGTTTTTGTTATTCGGTACTTCCAGGGCCCTTAGCATTTGACCTGGAATATGCACGCTGGCTTGATGATCATCAACGTCTCATAAATGAACTACGATCAGCCGTCAATTCTCATATGGATGATAATGAATTGTGCATTGTTGTGGATGGGGTCATGGCACATTATGATGAAATTTTCAGACTAAAGAGTATGGGTGCCAAGGCTGATGTCTTTCATATGCTTTCCGGCATGTGGAAGACACCTGCTGAGAGGTGTTTCATGTGGTTGGGTGGATTTCGTTCATCTGAACTTCTCAAGGTAATTGGTGATTTTGAGTGGATAATCTTTTCATAGCTGATCGAACAGGATCATTTGGTTGACCACTTTAAGCTTTATTTTCTTAGATTCTTGGGAACCACCTCGAACCCTTGACAGAACAGCAATTGATGGGCATTTGTAATCTGCAGCAGTCCTCGCAACAGGCTGAAGATGCCTTGTCTCAAGGAATGGAAGCTCTGCAACAATCTCTTGTAGATACTCTTTCATTTGCCAGTCTTGGTCCTTGTGGTTCAGGAAATGTTGCCGACTACATGGGCCAAATGGCAATTGCAATGGGCAAGCTTGCTACGCTAGAGAGCTTCCTTCACCAGGTAAATTACTACTATCCGAATCTTTTTGAGATATTGCTTGCTTAACAATTAAGTCTAGAAAGTCAAGTATGATTTGTATTTAAATATCCATTTTCAAAAATGGTAATCATTTCATTTACTCATTTAGGCTGACCTTTTGAGGCAACAAATTCTGCAACAAATGCATCGAATTTTGACCACACGACAAGCTGCTCGTGCTCTTCTAGTTATAAGTGATTACACTTCACGACTTCGGGCACTTAGTTCTTTATGGTTAGCTAGGCCGAGGGATTGACATCTTTTCTTAACATGCAAGTAATTTCTCCTAAATGGTTATTTTTGCCTATATTCTGGCCTCGAACAAGTCAATCGTGATGCAGCAGAAAATTGCCTGATAGTTTTTCTGCTATAATGGTTTGCCAGTTGTCCTTTTAACTTTTTATTGGCTTACAGATGTCTTTGTCAAAAGAAAAGGAAAAAAATCTTTGTATATCGCGGAGCGACTAGGAAAAGCTTTTTACTTAATTAGGTAGCTGTATAAGGGGTGATTATCCGTGTCTATTTTGGCATGTATGTACTAGCCTTATAAGTTTATAATCTTATTAGCCAAGTACAACAAATTTGCAGTAACTAGCAAATAACTCTATGCGTGTTAAATTGACTGGTAACTAGCAAATAAGTCGATGTCTTTTCTTCTCCCTGAACTATGGATAAACCAACCTGCATCCTGCGACTTCAAATTATAGGGATGCCATATAATTGAGTATTTTTCATATCAATTTTGGCCAAATACATGCTTTATTTCTGTCTGATACATTACAAGAATAGCTGACTGCATAATAGCAAGGGAAGTATCGCCAATTATTATTACCATCAGGCCCTAAATGCCTTTGGTGCTTACATTATTTCTAGTAGAACATGGTTGGCAAATAACAATGTTCATTCTATAAAAATATCAAACTCTCTGTTTGGTAGTGAACGTTTCTGAGCTCTTCTTCTTTGGTGGTTTGTTTGATTTTCTCGGCACTCTCGAGTTTGGTTCTCTTGGCTCTCTCAAGTTTGGTTCTGCGAATAGCCCAATAAAGTTTGTGTCAGTACAAATTGATGAAACAGTTTTGAAGTCATTTCTGAGAAACAGAGCAGGAACAGAACCAAAAGACAAAAGCAAAAAGGGGAACATACTGGGCTTGTCTGTTATCTTGGGTTTGATCTGGGGAAGAGATTTGGTGTCAGGGGGGATAAAAACTCCCGTACCATTGGATTTTCCCCCAGGGTTGCTGCCGAACCAGGTTGGCATCATATAAGTCCACAAGTAACCTCCCTCGGGCTGCGATGGATAGGAGAAACCGATTGGTTGGCTACTCAAACTCCAGTTTTCATCGTAGGCAATTCTAGAATCCTCTGTTTTCTGATACTCGTTATCGAATTTTGGCCTCCAAAACGTCTGATTGCTGTTTCTCGTGACACGTGAATATTCTGTTTCTCCATTCGCTTTCTCGTTATTTGCCACGACAGCCGGGGAATCTCCGGCGGAAACAACGCCAGATTTCTTGGCCTCATGAAAATCTCTATCCATATTCGCCATCCAAAACAGAGCCTCATGATACTCTTCTTCATCATCATCCATCAAAAGCAGAATATCCCTCTTAAGTTTTGCATAGAAAGCGTCATCTTCGTCGGTACTGCTGGATTTCTGGTTGGCTTCGTTGCTCATGCCGACGTTCTTGGTAGTAGAATTGAGAAGCGACGAAAGCTTTAACTCATGAGTTTTAGTATTGAGTATTATTGACCAGGCTTATATAGATGAGAAGAGCAGTATATGTCGGTGGGTTCGAACCTGGTTTTGTGAAAAAGATTTTCCCAAATAGAGCCAGGCCCATGGATTGTCTGGTTTTGAGGCAGAAAAAGGAAAAAAAAATAAAATTCTATGGAATGTCTGAATTTATGTCCTCTAATGCCTGTTTGTTTCTTTATGTGCTGATTATTTCCAGTTTTGGGGGATGGCTAAATATAGGCAGAAGAGTGATACGCGGTTACAGTTCATGTATTATTAAGTGAATTATATGTTAACTTATCATTACTTTATAAGCAAATTTCTTTTTTTTTTTTTTCCAAAAATCACACGCATAAAACCATATATAATTTGGGTGCTTTGAATATCCAATTTTCTCTCTCTTATTATGAGGAAAATCTAATATAAACTAAGAAAATATGCTAGCTGTATCTTATGTAATCTAAAAAATCTCAAATAATTAAATCATTACATTTTTCTACTCCTCCATAAAAATCAATGTTGGTTTTAAGAAAAATAGTTGTGAATCTGAAAATTCGACATTTTTGAGGGAAAAAAAATAAATATAAATATTTGAAATTAATTTTATTAGCAATATTATTATTATGGACGAAAATATAACCATTTCCCCTCCCTTAAAATATATAATTAGTTGTTGAGTGTTTAAATAATTAAAAAATATTTTGAGTGTTTTAAATACCTAAAAATATCCTTGTTATTATACATAATGGTGTAATTATTTAATTAGAAAATACATTGCTGTATAATTATAATACATCACAGGCCTAAGTTTCTAATTCTTTTTATGCAAAAAAAGCTGTATAATAATTATAAAAAAATATATATATACAATGAATTTGATTACTTCACAAAATTATCACACTCAACCAAAACATGTTGTGACAAATATTCTTCTTATATCAAAACTTGTGGTGGATTTTTACTGTATGAAATTGTAATCCGTCATTTAATAGAAAATGAACCCCATAATTATTTATTATTACTACTCTGCCTTGGATGCAAAAAAAAAAAAAAAGAAAAAATTATTTCACAGAAAATAGCTCCAGTACATGGAATCCAAATTAGTATTACTAAATAAATGATCCTTTACAAGTCCAACATTAAGACCGTAAATTCAATTAATTGTTTATTATAATATTAATTAGTCGTTTTACTCCCTTTTTTTTTTTCAATAAGAAAATAAAAAATTAGCTCAGTACAAAACGACGGTCAATTGGCTCTTTTTTTTGGCCGTTTTCTAAAATTTTCTATGTCGTTTTGTTTTATGTATTCTGCGGAAGAAAAATTATTCAAATGATTTTAGCTTTATCCAAATATGTAAACAATTTCTTTTTATCTACACAAGAAGTTGAGATTTTGATATTTTGGAAGAGGAAAAAAATATGAATTCACAAAAAAAAAAAAGGGGGAAAGAAGAACTCGACCCGACCCATAATTGCTAACGGGTCATGCCTGGTACAACAATTGGGGGAGTGGTTTTTTCCTTGGACCATTTCTCAACGTTGCCTTGCCAACCTTCAAAATTCAACCAACTATGTATCAAGCGAAGAATCTGTAGTGATCTTAGTTTAATTAAGCCTGTAATATTTGAATTTTGTTGGTATAATCTTTGATTAAGTGTATTAGTAAAAGATTCAAATTACCCTATTATGACACACAGTAAAAGATCTAAAATATATTTTTTACTTTTGAGCATGATTTTAACCACAGAACTTTGTCTTACGAGATGTCAAAAAAAAAAAATTAATGTTGTCAAAATAAAACGGCAAAAGTAGAGAGAGCTATTTACCCAAAGAAGGATCAGCGTCGCGGTTTTTGAGTTCTCGATGCTCTTGAGAAAGGGCCCAAGGCAAGCAGAAGATATGAGTGCAGTAATCTGGGCATGGTTCTTCTGGCAAAGCAAAATGTTCTCTCAATCTTGATCGGTTTGCGCATCCGTATAGCCACCCACAAAGAACTACTCCCATCGCTATATGTATCATAGTTGATCGTAAACATGCTACACCAATAATTTTGGATTTAGTTACACTCAATTCTATTGATAAAATTGTTTCTTTAATAATTTTTTATGTTATAATAAATGATTTTTAATAAAAAGAATTTTTTTATAAAAAAAATTGTTACGTAATTTGGTATATATCTACGCCTAAATTTACCTACTCTCAAAATTTAAGAAAATCGTTTTTAGATTTTTTGTTCTCGATTCTCTAAAGTGGAATACAATTATTAGCATTCATAATATATTTCAAATTGAACGTTGTTCCGATATACCAATTTGTGTCATTTTCTTAAATGTACGAAACATATTGAATAACATTATAAACTCTAAAATAGAATAATCATATTTGCATAGATTACTGGAAATATGAGGTATGTATTAACGCATTTTCACTAGGATAACCATGCAACATGCAACATGATTATGAAACTAGTTCCTGCTAAAAATCATCCATCCATCCATCTCCATCTCAATTGGGATGTAAACACATTCCATGAACCAGTCCAATTATAGGTTTTTCATGCACCGGGAAGTATACTCATCCGGTTATAAGATTGATGGGAGAAAGCCTAAATGTGAAAACGAAGAAAAAAGAATGAAAAATGAGTAGGAGGAGGAGACGAAGCTTACTTGTCGTGCCTCTGTTAATAATCTCCGAATTCTGACCAAAGGTGATGCACGGACAGACGGAGGCCTGCAAACCTTCAAACGAATCAACCAACCATTAATAACATAGATAAAAGAAATTAAGGAAGAAAGAGATGAGCTTATCTAAAAGAAAGTAGATATAAGGTGTAAAGTAAATTAATTTGTATACATATAAAAGGATCATCGCAACAATCGCAAAGACCAGTCGTCCATAATCCTTGAGGAAGCTGCTTGGCGTATGGCTGATCTTGAAGTGTTGGAGATGCTGGAGTGAAAATTGGTTGATTTGCCCCATGTTTATTTGCACACATTATGTTTTCTTCTTCTGAAACGGTAGACTAATGGAGATCAATTATTGGTAACCTCGTCTTAATTAAATTTCATAAATCACAGTAATTAATAATTAGTGGCGGGTTAATTGAATTAGGTTTTAACGTACACCTTCTTGGGACACAACTTGCGTGGAATTTGAATCCATGAAGAAGATGACGTTAAGAGGATTATGATGAACATAAATCAAAATGGATTAATTAACTGCAGGGGATTAATTTGTGGGTTAACAATAATTCAGGCCTCTATTGTTTTGTTTTTTTCTTTTTTGTATTTAACAAATTAACATACGGTTTTAACAAGGTAACTCGTTAATCACCGTAATTATAGCTGAGTCTTGTTTTTCTCTTTTCTAAATTTAGCTTTTAATTTTTTTAACTTCATAATTATCATTCCTATCAACAGTAAAAATCGTTGTTATTATTATTATTATTATTACACGCAAGCACCAGCGTATTGATCTTACTGCTCTTCTTACTTATAAATTCGTATTCTAACAGCATATTTCTCTCTATTTCTTTTGCCGTGCATGAAATAAGATTACGATTAAGAGTTTACTTAATAAATTTATTAAATATATATTTAATTAATTATTGAATATATTAATAAAAGTATTATTCAATGATAGAAAAAAAGTAAAAATAAATGCTCTAAAGATCAATCTTGTTTTCACTAAAAATCTCCATTAATCACACATTACATCATAATAATATGACTTCACAGAAGTGCAACCATTAATTATACGTATATCATCAAAGCAGATGACTTATTAAAACAACAAATATAATAAATTGATTCATTCAACACACAAATTTAGTAGGAAGGAATTGAAGAGACATCAAATTAACGGTCCATGGCTGCTGCAACAATTGGTGGTGTAAGCCCCTCCCGCTTCCATTTCTCAACGTTGCCTTGCCAACCTTCAACATCAATCAATCACCAAATACATACACACATTAATTACTTATATTAATATCAAAATTATATATTGAATATAAATGAACTGACAAATTTTACAAATATAATTTATATTTTAACATAATTTAATTAGAGTAGGATTATAATTAAATAAAGATTAGTACCTAGAGAGGGATCAACACCGCGATTGTTGAGTTCTCTATACTCCTGGGAAAGAGAGCAAACACAGCAGCAACAATGAACCACCCAATCGGCGCATGGAGCCTCTGGTAATGAAAACAGTTGCCTCAATTTGGCCCTGTACATAGACGTATATAGCCATCCGCAGCCGATAGAGCCCATGCCATAGTATAAAAGACATGCAAGCCAAGATGCTGCCCATGCAAATATCGATATACATATATCAACCATTGATGTTTTTCAATTCATTTCTTTTTCATTGAATCATAAAGAATTAAGAATTAAGAGCTTAAGCGTAAATTACGTGTGTTTCCTTTATCGACAATTTCTGCTATCTTTCCAAAGGTGATGCATGGGCAGCAGCAAGTCATGAAAACTTCAACACAAACCAAGATTAAAATGAATAATAAGGAAAAAAAAAAAATATCGACAAGAGCAAAAGAAATCATATATATGTGTGTCTATGTCTGTTGTGTATATATGCAGGAATTACAATTAGAGGTGTCATGGCGGCAATCAAAAAGATCAGTGGTCCATTGGCCTTGAGGTGGCTGCCCATGTTTTGGTGACGAAGTGGATTGAATGGTTTTGGGATCCATTGCTTCTTGCTCCTGCTATATGTATATAACTTTTTTATCTATATATCTATAGCTTACTCTTGCTCGGAACAAGAGTTTAAACGTCAGTGATTGAATAAGAGATTATTGATGGCACATGTATATATACATAGGGTCGGTTGAATTTGGCAAGTTTAACATAAATTTTCATGGAAACTTCGCATTATTTTGAAATCTTTAGTTTATAGAATCATTGAAAAAATCTATTGTATACGTTTTGAAGAATATCCAAACACGATGGATATATTCAAACTTGGAAATATTTGAATAATGAGTATATAGCCATTATTTTACAAGTTGGCTCCCCTTTTCTCACTCATGTATATATATAAATAATTTTCTTTGCCTGAAGAAAAACAAGAAGTACAAGAAAGTATCATGTTTAAGCAGTTATGAGGTAGCAGATATATTAAATTAATTTTTTGAAGGGGAAAATTCTGAATTCAACTGGGACATGGAAGTTACCTGTAAACTTCAAAACCAGGAGCCCATCGTTACTCATTGTTGAACTAATTAAAAAATTAGAAGATTATTATGGTATAAACTATACCTTAATGCATAAAAATAGTTTAATAGATTATTATGCATATTAATTAATTAAATAATTGTAATTGTTTGATAGCCCATGAAAGAAGGGGCTTACTGCATCTGGGCTCCAAGTAAAGGAGGAATTGGGCCAAAGGCGATTTATATTATTCTCACAAACTTAGTTTGATTTCTATGGCATCAAATGGCCGGGGATAGATCCGAGATATGGCCATTGAGCCTCTCAAGTAAAGTTTAAAGTTACAAAATAAAAAAATGGGAAGTGAAAAAATTAGAACCATGAATCTCTGTTTGTTTAAGTTAAGTATTTATTTTATTTAATTCTTTAATAATGGTAATTTTATTTTCGATTTTAATATTGATTTTGATAATATATATATATATATTATTACAATTAAGCCATAAAGAAAATGTAAGGTTAGGATTTAGAGAGTGGTAAAAGTAGTTCTCTCCTCACCACCACTACCTTCCCCTAACCTTTCCAAGAATTGTTGAATTATTTTAGGAGAGTATTCTCAAGTAAAACTACAAAAGAAAAGTTAAAAATAACAAAGTAACGCGTATAAAATTGAAATATTTTTATGTAAAAAAATGTAAATTTTCTGTATTTTTTTTTACGAGAAAGCATTTTAAAATTTTTAATATTAATTAAATTAAATTTCTTCAACATAAATATAATAAATTTGTTTCTAAAAATTCATAAAATCCATTTAAAGAGCTTTTCATGTGAGTTAAGTTTTAAAAGTCAACGTTTGCTCAATGAAACATCAAAGGTCAATGCCACTTCCAGCATTGCGACAACTAGGAACATGATGACCAACTACAAGATAGAATTTAGTAAGAAGGTAGAGAAGCAAACAAAATATTGTATCACCAACTTGCTATTTCTAAACTAGCTACTAAGGAACGGTAGGAAGGTTTTGGGATTTTCAAATGTATTTTTAAGTCAAGTCAACTAGTGCTGCAAAACAGAATGAAGGGTAAGTACGTGCATTGAAGCCCTTATATCACAAGAAACAAAGGAGCTAAAAAAACCACTGAAGAGGAAAATCATGGGAAGAGTTCCAGTTGAAACCCCTCCCCAATACCCTCCCCAGCCACAGCCACAGCCACAGCCACAGCCTATTTTTCATCAAAACGTGTATTACCAGCCGGGCGTTAATGGTCAGCAACCAGTTGGTAATTATGTTAATGGAGGAGTGCCACAAGTACACCCTCAAAGCAGCCCTGTCCTGACGTCTATGCCCACTAACTTCCAATCCCAAAACATTAACCCACCAACTGGGTTTACTCCCATGCAGCGCGCTGCAGTTGGCACCATCCCTTCAGCCACATTTAATGGGGCTAACTTCACAAACACGGTGCCTTGGACGACTGGGCTCTTCGATTGCAACCAAGATCCACAAAATGGTATTTATATGTTGTTCGATATTCCTTTTACTTTTAACATCTTTTTGCGATGATATACTTGCAAACTAAATGGGGTGTGTGTGTGTGTGTGTATCTATATATATACATATACGTATCAAAAGAATTCACTAGAAAAAGAGCATAGAGTTTAACAAATTTGGTTGGCATTGCAGCTTTCATCACAGCCTTTTTCCCTTGCATAACTTTCGGGCAGATTGCAGATGTTTTGGACAGTGGACATACAAGTAAATATGGCATACATTATTAAAATCAAACTAAAAAAGAAAGTCAAATGATGTAGTTTTGACTTTTAATTTTTGGATGTTTGATTGAAGCTTGTGTTACAAGTGGAATAATATACGCGTCGGCACCTTGTTTGCTGTCACGGCCGTACAGGACAAAATTGCGCCAAAGATTTGGGTTAATAGAGGCCCCCGCCGCAGATTGGATTGTGCATACCATGTTTGAACCTTGTGCTCTCTGTCAAGAATACCGCGAGCTCGTGAACCGTGGCATTGACCCTGCTCTAGGTAATTAATTAATTATCTCAACATTAATCTAATTATTTATTTACATAAACAAACATCTTAAAATTAACTGAATGATCAAATATGAATTGATTTAAGTGCATGGTGGTATGTGTATATATATGTATGTATGTCTATATCAGGATATCATGGAAATTTGAACAAAAATCAAGCTGATCAACAAGGTGGTGCTACCATGATGATACCACCCAAGAATCAAATGATGAACTGAAGATGAGCGAGCTTACAGGGTTGCTACTATGGCAGTTGTTTTAATTTATACACATGAGAGTGCTAATTAACTTTGTATTCCCGTGAAAAAAATTGTCTTTATGTAATTAGTCTGCTAATTAACTTCTGTAGTTCTCTATGTTCGCATTCTTTTTCAATAATTCATAATTTTATTAATTGTAATTAAGCTTATTTTAAAATAAAATTTTGAAATTTATTTTGTCATATTGACTGATTTGAGCATCTCACAATTTACGTGGTTATTTTGATTTGCAAATATATATTTAATTAAAAAGAAAGTTAGAGATGATTCTTTTATCTACTTACGGTTGTATATTAAAATATATATATATATATATATGTAATAACGAGGGAGAGGGGAAGTTATGAATAAAATTAAAAGGAAAAACCAGAAAATAATTATAAAAATAAAATAAATTAATTAAATTAACTGCTTTTCTCGAAAAGGCACGTCGGTGACTTCCTTTAATTCCTCGGCACCGTTTCTATCATCATATCATGTGTATTATCAACTATTGCAACACATAAATACCAAAATGGACTCGTTATCTTTCGCACCATCGGCCCCGCCGTGTCCGCCGCCACCACCATTGTCAACTGGTGCTCCACCAGCCACTCGTTCAAGGCCTTCAACCACTCATCAAGATGGTCCCTTGCCTTGGTCCACTGATCTCTGCGATTGCTGCCTTGATTTTAGCAGTTGTATGTTCATTAGACCCACTCCTTCCTTTCTTAAATTACCCTGACTTTCTTATCTGATTAATTACCACCCAAAGGAAAATTAATATTATTGTATATTTTGTGCAGGTTGCCTGACGTGCTGGTGTCCATGCATTGCATTTGGACGTATTGCAGAGATTGTTGACAGGGGATCGACTTGTAAGTAAACTAGTTCTGGGTTAAACAAGTGAAGATTGATTATATTAATTAATCTATAATTTTCTTTCTGTGAAAAATTAGCATGTGGAGTGAGTGGAGCTCTATACACATTGCTGCTCTGCATGACGGGTTGCTCGTGTTTATATTCATGTTTTTATCGATCGAAACTGAGAGGACAATATTTTTTAGAGGAGAGTGTCTGCTGCACCGATTGTTGCATTCATTTCTGCTGTGAGCAATGTGCTTTGTGCCAGGAGTACAGAGAACTCAAGAACCAGGGCTTCGACTTGTCTATAGGTGTGTATATATATATATATATATATCCATACGTATAAATTTGTGTATATGTATTATGTGGGTGTTTATATCTGATTAACTTCAGTAAAAATGTGTTTTTTGACTTATGGAATTTTTCTGTTTAGGGTGGCATGGAAACATGGAAAGACAGAAACGAATAGCAGGAATTGCTCCAATACCGGAAGGAGGCATGATTCGGTAGATACACCAATATACATTCATACATCATTGTGTAATCTATCTGAAAATTTTAAAGTTGCTATTTGTCTTTCTTGTTTACAGAAATGACAGACTCTGAAAGAGTAACTATTTATCAGTAACTCAAATTTACAGTAACGAACATAAATTTCTTTCGAAAAGGATGTTTTTAATCACTTACCAAAGAATTGTTTTGAGAAATATATTGAGAAAGGAACCCAGTAAAAACCCCCATAGAACTCCAACCTTTTTCGATTAACCTGCTCCACTAAACTGTCCTTTACATCTCTACTTAATTTATATGGAAGTTTAGGCTTTTAGGATCAGGCCCAGTCAACATAAGGACTTCTTTATATGGAGGGAGACCCAGTAAAAGCCCCTTTTTCTATTAACCCGACCCACTAAACTCTTTTACATGGACTTCTTTTAAATGGAGGTGCCCAGTAAAATTATTTACATGGACTGCTTTTATATGGAAGCTCAGTAAAATCCCCCATTGGACTTCAGTCTTTTTTTTATTTACCGGTCCACTAAACTGTCAGTTACATGGACTTCTTTTAAATTGAGGTTTGGGCTTTTACGTTCGGGCCCAGTAAAATCCTTTATATGGACTATATGAAGACCCAGTAAAATCCCCACTGGACTTTTTCGATCAACCCACTCCACTAAACTGTCCTTTTTAAGTGGAGGTTTGGGTTTTTAGTATCAGGCCCAGTAAAATCCTTTATATGGACTTCTTTTGCATGTAGACCCAGTAAAATCCCCATTGGACTCCAACCTTTTTCCCACAAAACTGTGATTTACATGGAATTCTTTTATACGGAGGTTTGAGCTTTTAGGAACATACCCACACAATATTGATATCAGATATAATTAATATAAAGCAGAAAATTTGTGTGACCCACTCACGAAGCCAGAGTCCTTGACCTATATTATATATGCATATGTTGAATAGTACGTCCATTAATAAGTAAAGGAACACGTTTGGTGGGTAGCCTAAAAACAGGGAAAGGGGGGGGAGTAGATTACTAATACTAGTCTTGTGAAAATTGGAAAAGCTATGACGAAAGTGGTTTTGTCCGAGATTGAAGTCCACTTATCCTCCTTCAACTTGATGGAGATGGTGAAAACTGAAATGGTATGTCCCCAAAAATTTAGAAGAAAAATGACCCAATTATCACTTGCTTTTGAAAAGATGTTATTGGGGGGCAGCCTAAAGTTAGGTTTTTATAGTGCTTTTGACTCCATCACATGCCATGTTTCTTAAAATGTCAACAATATCATCCCACTTTCCAACCTTATTTCTGATCAGCTGATGCCAACCTTATAGCTATAATAATTGTTTACCATTTTCCTTTTTTTTTTTTTTTTTTACTTTCTCAAATAAAAAAGTTTTCTTCCCCACCCATTTCTAATTATACTAATGTGAACTCTTCCAATTATAATGTATATTCACATCTTAAATGGGTCATCCAGTTCTAACGAGAAGCAATCCTAAGTTTCCACATAGTTCACAAATAAATTAATATTTCTATAGATTAATAATGGGTTTTTTTTTTTTTTAAAGTTGGTTTTCCATTAAGTGGGTTTGTAATTCCTTGACTGTGTGTGTAAGGGATTATGTCAACGATGGTGGCCGGAGGGAAATGGGGAATTCTTGTGACTTCTATATATATTAATTAGATAGGTTAAGCCATGATATAAATATATATACACGGTCAACCGAAAAGCAATATTTATTAGTCCACCTTAATTATTTGCAATTACTTTTTAGACACCTTAATCTCGTGTTGCAATCAAAATGACAAGTTCTTTGAGTTCAAACCCAACAAACATTCCTTGAAGATGAAGTTACTTAATCGCTGCGGCCGTGTAAGCCACATAGTGCATGACACCGTTCACTAATTTATAATATTGTTGATTCTTTGACTTACCTTTTTAAGATACATTCTCTACTCATCTAAAACACTAAAAGGTATCGTTTTGAAATGCCAGCTCTCCATCCCCCTCACATTTTGGATCCACGTGAACACATGTGACCATTTCCCAATTGCCCACTTTGCCACTTGTCATCCAAAAAATTCACATTTATATTCTTTTATTCCGTTTACTAACTCGACCTATCCTTATCTCTTCGTTTTTTCCTATATAAACAACTTCCACTTAACAAACAAGATGTAACCCAAAAGACAAATATCCTCCCCTCGTGTGCATTCTTTTGAGATTTGAGAAGAAACAACAATGGCTGCCACCGCTCTTGATCCACCCTTAACCCTCCAAATGCTTAACAATCAACGTAGAGGTATAGTTGAAGAAATTGAAGGTCTGATTAGAGTGTATAAAGATGGACACGTGGAAAGACCCCAGATTGTTCCATATGTCAACACCGAGCTGGCTCCGGAACTCGGTGTGATGTCAAGGGACGTAGTGATTGACAAGTTCACAAACATTTGGGCACGGTTTTATGTTCCGAATGATATGACCAACAAAGGGATCAAAGCAGCTTCCTTTGATTGTTTATTTCCATGAGGTGGATTTTGTGTTGGCTCGGCTTCTGGATTGCTACCATGAGTTCCTAGCTAGACTAGCTGCTAAAGCAGGTGCCTAATCATGTCAG